GGATATATTCCCAGGAGTGCTATAGCTGGGTCAAATGGGAGATCAAATTCTAATTTTTTGAGAATCGTCCATACTTTTTTCCAAAAGGGTTGGACCAGCCTGCATTCCCACCAGCAGTGAAGGAGAGTCCCTTTCTTGCCACATCCGCGCCAGCACCTGTTGCTTTTGTTCTTGTGGATGTGGGCCAGTCTCTGTGGTGTGAAATGATATCTCATTGTTGTTTTGATCTGCATCTCTCTGATGATTAGTGATGTAGAGCATTTTCTCATGTGCCTTTTTGCCATTCGGATTTCTTCTTTGCGAAAGTTTCTGTTCATTTCCTCACCCCATTTTTTGATGGGGTTGGGTGATTTCTTCTTGTGTAGTTTAACCAGTACCTTGTATATCCGTGATATCAACCCCTTGTCAGATGTGTATTTGGTGAATATTCTTTCCCATTCTGTAGGCTGTCTTTGTATTTTGGTCACTGTTTCTTTTGAGGTGCAGAAGCTTCTTAGTTTAAGATAGTCCCATTTGTCTATCTCTGTTTTCACTTGCTCGGCCAGTGGTGTGACATCTTTGAAGATACCATTAACTTCAATATCATGGAGAGTTTTGCCAACTTTGTCTTCAATAAACATTATGGATTCTGGTCTAATGTTGAGGTCATAAATCCATTTCGATCTTACTTTTGTGCATGGCGTTAGGCAGAGATCTGAACCCACTTTTTTGCATGTAGCCATCCAGTTTTGCCAGCACAATTTATTAAAGAGGATTTCCCTGCTCCACTTCACTTTTCTTGCCCCCTTATCGAAGATTAGATGATTATATGTTTGGGAGGAGATGTCAGTATATTCAACTCTGTTCCATTGGTCTGCAGCTCTGCCTTTGTTCCAGTACCATGCTGTTTTGATTATTACTGCTTTGTAGTAGAGCTTGAAGTTAGGTAGGTTGATTCCTCCCATTTTCTTTTTCCCAAGAATTGCTTTAGCTATTCGGGGGGGCTTATTGTTCCATATAAATTTCAGGAGTGTTTGCTCCATTTCTTTGAAGAATGTCATGGGTATCCTTATAGGGATTGCATTGAATTTATACAGTGCCTTGGGAAGTATTGCCATTTTGACAATGTTGATTCTCCCCATCCATGAAGAGGGGATATGTTTCCATTTCCTCGTGTCCTCTTTTATTTCCTGAAGTAGCGTTTGGTAGTTTTCTTTGTACAGATCCTTTACTTCCTTAGTTAAGGCGTTCCTAGGTACTTGATTTTCTGGGGCACAATTGTGAATGGAATTGTTTTCTTCATGTCACTTTCTTCTCTTTCACTATTTGCATATAGGAAAGCCATGGATTTTTGGGTATTGATTTTATAGCCTGCCACTTTACTATACAAGCCTATTGTTTCTAGGAGTTTCTTGGTAGAGGTTTTAGGGTTCTCTAAGTATAGTATCATATCATCTGCGAATAGTGAGAGCTTGATTTCTTCCTTTCCTACCTGGATGCCCTTAATATCTTTTTCTTGCCTAATCGCTATTGCAAGTACTTCCAGTACTATATTGAACAGCAGTGGAGAGAGTGGGCATCCTTGTCTCATCCCTGACCTTAGGGGGAAGGTTCTCAGTTTTTCCCCATTGAGGATGATGTTAGCTGTAGCTGTAGATGGCTTTAACTATATTGAGGAAAGTCCCCTCTATCCCCATTTTGGCAAGGGTTTTCATCATGAATGGGTGCTGGATCTTGTCAAATGCTTTCTCTGCATCTATTTATATGATCATATGATTTTTATCTTTTCCTTTGTTGATATGATGGATTATGTTGATTGATTTCTGAATGTTGAACCATCCTTGCATCCCTGGGATGAATCCTACTTGGTCATGATGTATGATCTTTTTGACGAGTTGTTGAATTCTATTGACTAGTATTTTGTTGAGAATCTTCGCATCCGTGTTCATCAGGGATATCGGCCTGTAGTTTTCTTTTCTTGTTGTGTCTTTGTTTCCTTTTGGTATTAGAGAGATATGGGCTTCATAGAAACTGTTCGGGAGAGTTTCCGTTTTTTCAATTTCCTGGAAAAGCTTAAGAACTGGCAATAGGTCCGCTTTAAATGTTTGAAAAAATTCGCTAGTAAATCCATCTGGACCTGGGCTTTTGTTTTTGGGAAGACTTTTGATTAGCACAGCAGTAGGGCGTTCGCCTTACAAGCGGCCAACACAGCCAACCCGAGTTCGATTCCTCCGCCCCTCTCAGAGAGTCCGGCAAGCTACCGAGAGTATCTCGCCCGCACAGCAGAGCCTGGCAAGCTCCCCGTGTTGTATTCGATATGCCAGACACAGTAACAACAAAGTCTCCAATGGAGATGTTACTGGGCCCACTCGAGCAAATTGATGATCAACGGGAGGGCCTTTACCTTTTTTTCCTTGATGTGAATAGGTCTATTCAGGTACTCTATATCTTCTTGATTCAACTTTGGGAGATGATAGGAATCCAGGAATTTATCCATTTCTTCTAGGTTCTCTTGTTTCGTGGCATACAGACTTTCAAAGTAGTCTCTGATGATCTCTTGAATTTCTTTAGTTTCTGTTGTGATATCCCCATTCTTATTTCTGATTCGATTTATTAAGGCTCTCTCTCTCTGTTTCTTTGTGAGTGTTGCTAGTGGTTTATCTATCTTATTTATTTTCTCAAAGAACCAGCTCTTGGTTTCATTGATCTTTCGGATTGTTTCTTTGTTTTCCATGTCATTGATTTCTACTCTAAGTTTTATGATCTCTTTCCTTCCGCCTGATTTAGGTTCTTCCTGTTGATCCTTTTCTAAGGTCTTGAGCTGTGAGGCCATTTGTTTATGTGCATTGTTTCTACAGACCTAAGATATGCTTACAGAGCTATAAATTTTCCCCTTAATACAGCTTTCACTGCATCCCATAAGTTCTGGTAGTTTGTGTCTTCATTCTCATTTGTTTCCAGGTATCTTTTGATTTCGTCCTTGACTTCGTTCTTGACCCACTCATTGTTCAGCATCGAGTTGTTTAATTTCCAGGTGTTTGATTTTGTTCTCCGTGTCAGTGTGTGATTCACTTCCATCCTCAGTGCATCATGGTCTGAAAAGATGGCTGATACTATTTCTATCTTCCTGATTCTGTTGAGGTATGTTTTTAACGAAATGAATGCAGATAGAGCTGTGTGATTATCATCTAACAGCTCATTTCTGAGTGATGAGATTAGGTGAATTTACCAAAAAACTTTTTCTTTCCACTTTACTTCACTATTGTCATTATTTCTTATATATATGCACCTCTTGAGTAAGACCCAGATTTTATAGACACAAAGAACAATCCTTCAAAGTCTCAGAGACAGAAATCTTCTGATCACTAAAACTTACTGGTCTCTTTAAGAATTTTTCCAGTCTGACACTAATGCAAGTAGGAGACCAGGAATGCCATCAATGTTCTAATATTTACCAACACTTACAAAGTGATCAAAACATTTCTGAAAGCAGTCTTTTCTTAACATTGATACAGTCTTTGTGATCTTAGAGTGGTCACAGTCCATTTTAATAACTACCACTGAATATTTCCACTTGTACAACACATTATTTGGGTTTCAAGGAACAAAAATATCATATCTTCTACTTTAACATTAATGAAGAACTATGCCTTGGATGTGGGGAGCAAGAAAGTCTCATTCATGGTTGGTGGGAATGCTAACTAGTCGAGTCTTTTTGGAAAACAATATGGGCATTCCTCAAAAAACTAAAAATTGAGATTCCATATGACCCAGTAATACAACCTCTGGTAATATACCCCCGGAGTCCAAAAACACACAGCAGAAATGACATCTACACTTGTGTGTTCATTGCAGCCTGGTTCATAGTAGCCAGAATCTGGAAACAACCCAAGTACCCTAAAAAAGATAACTGGCTAAAGAAACTATGGTACATCTACACATTGGAATACTATACATATATTAGAAAAAAATAAGTTATTAAATTTGCTCATAACTGGATGGAAATGGAGAGTATGATGCTGAGTGAAATGAGTCAGAAGGAGAAGGACAGACATAGAATGACTGCACTCGTTTGTGGAATATAAAAAAAAAACCATAATATGAGACACCCAAGTACAGTTAAAACAAGGGTCAGGATGAATTTTACCCTGTTGGAAGCTTGCCTCAAGGGCTGGGGGAGAGGGCAGTTGATATAGAGAAAGAACCATAATGATAAAAATGGTGAGAAATTCTGGATAGATATGTGCTGGAAGTAGGCAAAGGACCAAAAACAATGGCCTCTCAGTATCTGCATTGCAAACAATAATGTCCTAAAAGAGTGAGAGAGAGAGAGAGAGAGAGAGAGAGAGAGAGAGAGAGAGAAGTGCCTGCCACAGAGGCAGTCTGGTGTGGGTAACAGAAGGGAGATATTGGTGGTGGGAAATGTACACTGCTGTAGGGATGGGTGTTGGAACATTGCATGACTGAAACTCAATTATGAAAGCTTTGTAACTATCTCACCATGAGTCAATAAAAAGAAAAAAGAAAATTTACTACACAAAAATAAAATAAAATAAACAACTATGCCTACATTCCTCTAAATGAAACATGTACAAAGGAAAAATATATTAAATGCATATCTATGGATTAGAAGTTAATTTATTTATGTATCATGTAATACATTAAAATTAGACATAGAAAGGAACATTGGACAATGGTGGAGGAATACTGACCCTGATGTTGAGATTGGAATTGGAATATGGAGTATGCCTAAAGCTCTATTATTAATGGTATTATAAATCACTGTATCTAGGGGGCTGGAGTGATTAGCACAATGGGTAGAAGTTTTGCCTTGCATGTAGCTGACCCACGTTCGATTCCCAGCATCCCATATGGTCCCCTGAGCACCACCAGGAGTAATTCCTGAGTGCATAGCCAAGACTAACCCCTGTGCATCGTTGGCTGTGACTCAAAAAGAAAAAAAATCTAAAGCAAAATTGTATCTAAAGCAAAATTGAAAAGTAAAATAAAATTAGACATACCAACAGAGGTGCTTCCATTATCTTAATAAATCGATGAATGTTCAATGTAGTCAATGACTGCTCCATTAGTGTTCTTCTACATTGCTGGGTCAAGTCCAAGACAGGTTTACAATGGAAAAAGTAGAGATGTGCATGTTCTATATCTTCAGTGCTACAAAGTTAAAAAAAAATAGGGGCAGATACCTTGAAGATCAGTTTGTAGTTTTTCTATCATCTAGAAAGACATAACATCAAATTTCTTTGCCTTAGGTCTCATACTTTTAAATTAATACTTCAGTAAAAGCCTTAAAGACTATATAACATCAAAATAAAAAAACAACCTACGCAAAAAAGAGGATAATATTAAATAAAATTAACCATTAATATTTTTGCAAATTTCATGAGTTGTACATGCAATTTTTCTTGAGTTCTCTCATATGATAGCTTCTACAGTAGGCTACAGTCAAGTTCATACAGTGTTTTAAATCAAAGGCTGTCATTTTGAGTACAATACTATTACCAACAAATAGTTGCTGGAGCTATGCTAAATAAAGCTTTGTAACACAAATTTTCTACGTCTAATTTAAACCCAAATCTGTTTTGAATAAACTTCATCCAAAATATACCTTAAAATAAAAACCATGTGGCATGTTGTGGGAGTCTGTGCATTTGTATCTGATATATTACAAAAGTCACCACATAGAGTTTATAATTTGAATTCTGGCATTGCCTTCAATATAAGAACTCAAAGATAAACTTGTAGTGGGTGAGTAGGGTTTGCCAAAATTAAAACAACAGTTCAAACAACTCCATATGGTATTTGTAGAGTTTGGTAAAATACTGAAATTTTTTTTATTTTATTTTAATTCTTGATAAATTTTTAAACAGAATTCCAAGGGACTATGATTTCATACTGAATTAAAAACTAATTTCTAATAGTATCAATGATAAAATAAAAGATCAAATATGTACATAATGCCTATTGTATGTTGGCACTACTAGTAAATATAAGATGAATAAAATAACTCAAATCCTTAAGGGGCATAGACTAAAGGAGGTATATTTTATCAACCAATGAATATATAACTTATAAATATTATAATGTTCAAAGCACTACAGGGAAAATAGAAATATTTCAATCTGCCTCAGAGGGGGAAGAGAGGAAGAAAAAAGAAAAATAATCACAAAAATTTCAAACAGTAAAGAATGACCTCCCCATTCTGATAGGACAAGTGGTTACTTCATTATAAAAGCAACAATATAACAATCACGGTCACGGTCTTCCCATTGTTCATGGATTTGCTTGAGCAGGCCCAGTAATGTCTCCTTCTGAGACTTGTTGTTACTGTGTTTGGCATATTGAATATGTCACGGGTAGCTTGCCAGGCTCTGCCATGCAGGTGAGATACTCTCGGTAGCTTGCCGGACTTTCCGAGAGGGGCAGAGGAATCGAACTTGGGTCGGCCGTGTTGGCTGCGTGCAAGGCAAATGCCCTACTGCTGTGCTATCGCTCTGGCCCAATATGACAATATAGTCATTAAATAAAGTACATAACTTTTTTAGAGAAACTTTAACCCAAAAAAGTCACATATAATGAGAGAAAAGTACTGAGAACAACAGAGTCTTGCTGGAGTTGGACATTATAGCATCACAACTGAAGTAATACAATGATGCTGGGAAGTTGTTTCATCAGTATTTAGTTTTAGGTAGCAGAAACTGAAAAACATAGGAATTTACTGAAAGTTTGGAAAAGTAGATTACAGTACACAGGAAAATTTAAATAACTTGTTCAGAAAAAAAAATTAGAGGTCTGAACTGCAAAAGTTCAGAGACCTTCATTTTGCCAAAAGCACTTCCAGTGCCTATCTCACTCCATGGAAATTCTAATTTCACTTCTGCATGGGAATAATACTGCTATAAGGAAGAGAGGCACACTACTATATAATCATTTTTCATACCCAATTTTAAATTCCTGAGAGAAGAAAATCTCCTTTACTCAGGTAAGCCAATGAATTGTTTGATTCCAGGTCAGTCTGGTGGCCAATTCTGATATAATTGACTGTGGAATGTATAGCATAGAGATAACACCCCATTTTGGCCAGTATGCAGGTCATTTAATAATAGAACATGCAGAGGTAGCAGAAAGTACTGGTGACTCTATGCTTTGCTATCTGTTTTATTACTTCATACACATCCTTCTTATCTTATGGAATTTCAAACATACTCAGGTACAACATGATGTGACAATTAATGCACTAGTTTGATCCAATGTTATAGCTACAATAATTAGAATAGTATCTAGACTACAGAAGGCATTAAATAAATAATTGTTGAATTAAAGAATAAAAAGTGAAAGAAAAATGCATTCACTATTCATGCATTGCAAGACAATCCTAAGTAACAGCCAATAACCTGATTTGGAAGTAGTGTCACAGAACTACTTACTGAATTTTGAATTCACAGCCCTTCCCTGTCACAGTATTATTCCTCAAAATCATGTTATCCATGAACATATGAGAATTCAAACATCTCTAATAAATAATCTACTCAAAAGTATGTAAAAAACAGGGTAAATATACAATACTGAAGTCTCAAAGAAACATTTCACTAAAACTGTACACTAGAAACTAGACAAGAAAAACAAACATGTAAGTTTTTCTGTTTACAACTAAAGGGGATGAGAGTACAAGAGGTTAGTCCATTAACCACATGGTCCCTGGGGCATCATCAGAGGTGGCCCGGGTATCCCAGCACTGCAAGGTCTGAGCAGCATATTCTTGAGTACTGTTGCCTTGAGAATCACCTGTGGACCTGACCCCACCTCTCAAAATAAATCCACAAAAATTGAAAAAAAATCAAACAAAAAAGCTTGTACTTAATTAAATATACTTAAAGATTATTATGACAAAGTAACAATACAATCAGAAAAAAGTTCTGGAGCTTTGCTATGAAAACTATTATTTTGTCATCTATAACTGTATGATATCTATTTCTAAAACACATTAATTTGGCTGCCCAGGGATAACAACTTATTTTCCTCTTTCACCTTAGTTTATCATCCCTTCTTTTTGTTTGTTTGTTTGATTTTTTTGTCTTGGGGTCATGCTCAGCAGTTCTTAGGACTTACTCAAGGCTCTGCACTCACGGATCACTTCTGGCAGTGCTAGGGAAACCATAAGGAAACCATCTGAAATGCCATGGATAAAAACTGGGTCAGATGCATGTGAAGCAAACATCCTATCCACTGTACCATAAGGCTCAGGCCCTAATATCCCTTCTGTACTCATAAATTCAGACTAGTTAAACAAATGATAATAATAAGGATATTTCTACTTTCATTTATATATTCACACCACTTGCATTTTCTCTCAGATAACTGCACTCTATGACAATATGATGAAAACGTTGAAGAAGGTGAAATATGTGAAGTTAAAATTATTGACATATGCATCTCATACATACCCAATACTTTCTAAAAGAGCAATTTCTGTGGTTAAGACAAATTGATATGTGGTCCCATAAACAAAAGCAGCTTCCATAACTGCTCTGTGCTCTAAAGGAAAAATAAAGGAATTGAAACAAGACATTAATTTGTATGGCTCTGTACAAAATTCTGTTATAAACATTACCCTACACCTTTTAAGCCCTATTTATTATGCTTAAAGAAAAGTCTTTTTATTGGTATCCCAGTTGAGAAAATGTAGGCAGTTAAGTTCTGAAGGGCAAATAAAAAATGAATTAAACCTGGTATTTAAAAATTGTGATAACATGTGCTAGGTGAGAAGGAAGCTCAGATAGAGAAGAGAGCACCAAATAAAGGGTGTTGTGAAGACCCTCCCAGGGTGGGAGAGACATGCTAAAAGTAGTCTATAGACCAAGCATGATTGCCACTCAATGCCTCTCTGGCAAAACACAGTACCCAAAAGAAGAGAGAGAGAACAAGGGGGAATGCCCTGCCACAGGGGCAGGGTGGGACGGGGGGGGGGGGATGGGGGGTGGGAGGGATGCTAGGACCCGTGGTGGGGGAGGATGGCACTGGTGGAGGGATGGGTACTTGATCGTTGTATAACTGAAACCCAAGCACAGAAATTTGTAAGTCTATAAGTGTACTCCATGGTGTTTCACTAATAAAAAAAATGAAAAAAAAATTGTGATAATCTTTTACTAGAGGCAAGAAATATTTTACAAATGTTATGTCTATATTTATTTTAAGTAAATTCATTTTTATATAGTTTAAGAAAACAATTCTATAAGGTACTTAAGAAAAAGACCTCTCTCTATTCTTGCCCCAATACAAGGAAAATTACATTCAACCTCCTCAGTATTTCTTTTGATACTTACTCCCAACTCTCTATGACATTCAAAAACTTCCTATTATATATTTTCTAAGTTTTAGTATTGTGTAGTAAATTCCCACCATGAAAGATAATTAAGGTATCTATGAATAAGATAATAAATTTTCTTTCCATAACCCTACTCTACAAACATATACCTTTCTCCTTAAATCTCTCGTTTCTTATTAGAATAGTCAATATTTACATTGCTATGGATAAGTAAATAACAATACTTACAAATGAAATACATAAGCAAAATGAACACATGTCTTTTTCACTACAATTATAATTGCCTTGCCTTGTTTTTGTTTGCTAGAGCAGGCCCAGTAACATTGTGAAACTTGTTACTGTGTTTGGCATATCAAATACGTCACGGGTAGCTTGCCAGGCTTTGCCATGCGGGCGAGATACTCTCGGTAGCTTGCAGGGCTCTCCGAGAGGGGCAGAGGAATTGAACTCGGGTTGGCCATGTTGGCTGCATGCAAGGTAAACGCCCTACCGCTGTGCCATTAGGTTTCTTTCTAATTTCTTTCTCAATCCCTTCAATATTTCTAATGTAGGAGATGCACTACTGATCTCCTCTTCCTGGAAACATTTCTGCAGAGCCTACTGATTTGTTCCGTTATGAACTCTTAGTTGACCTCCTGCACAGCTATGGTTCTGGGAACTCCATAATTCTGGGGAATCTCTTATTTTCTCTCTTGTGTGGGTATTTTTGCCCACATCTTCTTAACTGATTTGCTCTCTTGTTCCAATTCTCTAGCACCGTCTTTTGAGAAGATATATGGTTCACCTTTTTTGAACCTGACAATTCTGAAAGTGTCTTTATTCTACTTTCAAAACCATAACTTTCTACAGAATTCTAGGTTCAAGTTGTTTCCCCTGAGAATTTTTAAAGCTATGCTCAATTTCCATTGCTGTAATTCAAAAGTAGAATACTCTTCTGATTCTTGGCCCTCTGATGAAAAACTACACTTTTTTACCTGAAAATTTTGAATAGGTGTATCAGACATTCTAAAATTTCAAAATTAGGTACTTTATTATGGCTCTACATTTATCTGTTACCCTCAAATTCAATGGGCCCTTATCATTTAAATACCTCAAATACCTAGGTGATAGGAAATTTTCTTAAATCTTTATTTGAATATTCCCTCTTTATATTTCACCTTTTTTTCCAAAATCTGACACGCCATTTCGTCGGTAAAGAAACAAAAAGCACCCGGCCCAGAAAAGGTCAGACCTGAACACCTAAAAAACCTGCCATCAGTACTCATCAATATGCTGGCTTGGCTCTTCACACGCTACTTGTATGAATGCAAGGTTCCGTCCCAATGGAAAACCAGCAGGACTGTACTACTGTACAAAAAGGGAGACATCCACGACATTGGCAACTATCACCCAATATGCCTATTGTCTGTCATCTACAAGATGTTCACTCGAGTCATCCTAAATAGGGTTGGCAGAACACTAGATGAAGGACAACCATGCGAGTAAGCCAGGTTCCGAAAAGGATTCAGCACCATCGATCATATTCACACGATAACCAAGCTCATTGAGGTTTCTCGGGAGTTCAAGATGCCGCTCTATCTAACATTCATTGATTTAAAGAAGGCCTTTGATTCTGTTGAGACGGAAGCGGTCATTGAAGCCCTAGCCAATCAGGGCACTCAAGCCCAATACATCAAGATTCTCCGTTATCTGTATTGTGGATTCACTCCCAGGATCTCACCATTCTACAAAGAAGTAATCATTGATGTCAAGAGAGGGGTTCGGCAGGGTGATACCATTTCACCGAAACTCTTCAGTGCCACCCTCAAGAACATCATGTGACGACTGGAATGGGAAGGAATGGGAGTGAAGATAGATGGTCGGCAACTACACCACTTCCGCTTTGCTGATGACATTGTTTTAATAACACCAAACACTAGCCAAGCGGCACAAATGCTGGCTGACTTCGACCGTGAGTGTGGAAAGGTCGAACTACAGCTGAATCTTACGAAGACAATGTTTATGAGAAACAGCCTCATTCCTGATGCTCTATTTGCTCTATTTGCTCTCAATGGAATGACCATCTCCGAAAGCAACAGTTATGTGTACCAAGGCCGAGAAGTCAACATGATGAATGACCTGGCACCTGAGTTGCACAGGAGGAAGAGAGCGGCTTGAAACACCTTCAAGAGTGTCCAAGAAATAGCTAGGAGGACGAAGAACCTCCGGCTCAGGGAACATCTCTTTGATTCCACTGTTCTTCCTGCTCTAACATAGGACTAAGAGATTTGGGCCCTAGGCAAAAGGATGGAACTGAAAGAGCTATGCTTGGAGTATCACATTTCACTCAAATGAGAGAAAAAGGATGGAACTGAAAGAGCTATGCTTGGAGTATCATGTATCACTCAAATGAGAGAAACAATCCGGAGTTCTGACTTCCATCGACAATCAAGAATCAGTGACACTGTCTCATTTGCCAAGGCATCAAAAATCAGATGGGCTGGACATGTAATGAGATTTAGAGACGACCGCTGGACTAGAGCCGTTACCGACTGGATTCCACGGGAAGTCAAAAGACCACATGGCCGCCCCCCTACCAGATGGTCAGATTTCTTTATCAAGATCATGAACAATTGGTTTGAGGCTCTTTGTGTTCTTAGAACGAACAGACGCAATTGGGCTACACTAGCACGTGACAGGGACAAATGGAGACGTGACTGGCGCCCACTTGAGCAAATCAACGATTAACAGGAAGTCAAGTGATCAAGTGATATTTCACTTGCCCTTTCACCTTCTTAATGAAGTAGGTATTCAACTAGGAGGCCCCTAGACAATGAATTTCTGGAAGCCATAAAATTCAAGAAATGTTTTGAAGTTCCTACAATCAGTTCCTCAGCTCCAAACTGGGAATGCCAGCTCATAGCTTAAGTCAGAACCCAGAACCCATCAGAAAACCCATCTCGGGACAATTCAGCAGGAACAAAGATCTTGATAAGACTCTGAGTGAAGATCACAAGTCATTTTCCCTTGACAATGACCAATAACAAGACAATACCAGAACTCTTATCTGCACAGAAAGTTCAGAAAAAAAACCTATAAAGCCAGCTTTGCAAAAGTAACTCCTATGCACTCCATCCTGGAGTCAACTACAACTCTCTCCTTTTAGTTTGAAAAAGTCCTTCACACTCAGTTTGAAGCCACCTGCACATCCCAAATCAAGTGCATCATTTCTTTCCTGTCTTTCATATGGATCTCCTCTCTTCCATATTTCTTGAATAAAGTGATTTTACTTCACTGTTCTGCTGACATTCTTTTCTGTGAGATCAGACAAATAACCAACATATTGTACCATTGGTAATAATTACAAACTCCGAACAAAATACAACCACCTGAGGATCATGAAAAATAAATAGAATAGACTGAACGTAGAGTGACTTTATAGTGAATTAAGTTTAATAACATGCCATTAAGTTTTATATTGATAAAAACTGATATTTCCAAGTGTTGAAGAGATAGTCCAGAGGGCTAAGCACATTCTTTGTATGAAGAGGCTCAGGTTTTATCTCTGGAACTACATAATTCCCCCAAAACCTTCAGGAATGACACCTGGACACAGAACACCCTGCTGGATGTACCCCCTCAAAAAAATGTTAATTCCAAGACATGCTTTTATTTCATAGAGTATAAAGAATTAGTTAAATGTCTTTAACAACATTTTATACTAACATGGTCAATCTATAAGCACTAACAAAGTCCTGAAAGAATAGCTATGTTTTCTTTTTTAGTTATTTCTTTGGTGGGGTGGCCTCCAAAGCAGTGCTTGGGAAATCAGGGGGTCATTGCAGGTTTTATCTAGCCAACTGAGCTGGACTGCTCAATGCTTGAGCCATGCAGTACCAGGGATCAAACTGGAGACCCTGCTTATGTAAAGTATGTGCACCTTATTACTGAGTTATCTCCAAAGTCCTGTTGTTCATACTTTTTTTTTTACATATTTCTTTACAAAAATAACCCAGACTAATACTTGAAGTTATACTATCAAATTGCATTTCAAAAAATTTAAAAATATAAATAGCAAATAAAAAATAAAAGAGCTAGTCAGTCAATATTTACTTATAATATCTATACCAGGCTGCATAAAACTCTAAGGACATAAAAATACTAAGGTAAGGTAAAGGTAAAGGCCCTCCCGTTGATCGTCGATTTGCTCGAGTGGGCCCAGTAATGTCTCCATTGGAGACTTTGTTGTTACTGTGTTTGGCATATCGAATACTCTCGGTAGCTTGCCGGGCTCTCCGAGAGGGGCGGAGGAATCGAACTCGGGTCGGCAATGTTGGCCGCTTGTAAGGCGAACGCCCTACCCGCTGTGCTACCACTAAGTTAACACTGATTTTTTACAACTAGTAAGTAAGTAAGTAAAGGCCCTCCCGTTGATCGTCGATTTGCTCGAGCGGGCCCAGTAACGTCTCCATTGGAGACTTTGTTGTTACTGTGTCTGGCATATCGAATACTCTCGGTAGCTTGCCGGGCTCTCCGAGAGGGGCGGAGGAATCGAACTCGGGTCGGCCATGTTGGCCGCGTGTAAGGCAAACGCCCTACCCGTTTACAACTAGGAATCATTAAAATTTTTTTGTTTTTGTTTTAGGGCTATACCTCCTGACTGTTCTCAGGGACCAAAACTGACAAGGCCAGGGGACTATACAGAGTGTCGGGAATTGAACCCAGGTCAGCTGTGTGCAAAGCATGTGCCCTTCACACTGTACTATCTCTCCTATTCCAGCATCATTTAAATTATTTGAACTTTTAGTACTCATAGTAACACTAAAAAGTAGGTGCTATTATTTTCACCATCTTAACAACTACAAAATTGGAGTAAGTTGTACAAGGTGATAGATACTATAGGTAACTGGGCAGGTGGTGAATCTAGCCTAGACAGTCTGGCTCCATGTTCAACCTATATTCTATGTTGCCCATTTAAACGAAGAAAACATAATAGTAATTCCTATCTAGTTTTTTTATATATCCAAAATTGCATCAAAAATAAAGAACATTATATATCCTTCAACATACACAAGCTCACAGACACAGAAAACATTAAAGTAAAAGCTGATAAATACCTGGTGTACCAATGGCTCTTACATATGAAAATGCAATGTTTGCTTTCCCTTTCAGAACATTTTCTATATTCTGAAGGTCATCCAGTGTGGCAATATATTTAACTTCATTAAAAAGAAGAGCACTAAAATAAACAAAGATATGATTAGTAGAAAAAAATCAAATATGTACTTAGTATTTTAATATATATTTGCTAAGTTGAAGGATTAACTAAAAATTAATTATTTTCAATAAATTTTCAGTAGTAAGAACTGCAGCAATTCAATACTGAATTAGTCACTCTTATAGTCACTACTCTGTCTCTGAGAACACAAAGCAGGGATACCTAGCAAAAATAGAGCTCATTCTCCATTACAACCATCTCAATATGTATAAACTATGTATGCTAACTCCTAGAACATCCAATATTCCTTTCAGACCTCTTGGCCATGCACACACGTAGTTAGCCCAATATCTAACACACAAGTTGCTTCCCAGGGTCTCCAGTCTCTTTCTGACTTAGACCTTACCTAATCTCCAACCTGCTGCTGCTCCACCATTTCTCAGGTCTACCAACTTTAGGTATACTTCATGACCTTTGTCCACAGAATTTTCTTTGTTGAAAGCTATTTTTTCTCACACTTCTGACTTCAGTTTAAACAACATAATCTCAGAGACTCCTTTACTGTTAGAAGTAGGTCTCTAGCATTTTCCTATTTCATAACTACTTGAGGCTTCATAATCAATTTATAATTGCACATGTATTTACTTGTTTGTCTCTAGTTCTCTCATCAAATAATTTCCTGAAGCAGATAATTAGAGGGCAGAAGTATGTGGGAAAAAATAGCTTTCAACAAATTGTATTTTATCACTACACCAAAATTACTCAGAATAAAACTTAGTAAATTTTAAATAATAAATAAGCATCTGTTGAATTTGTGGAAGAAAAAATATCACAGAAAATTATTTAGTCCCACTTTTTATTGAATAAATGCAAGTGTAAACAGTAAAGATCTGGACCCAGGAGAGAGTACAGCAGTTAGAGTGCATGCATAACATGCGACCAACCTGGGTTCCATTCCCAGCACAACGTCATGTGGTGCAGTTCTGGAGGCCCAGGACTGCCAGAGAGGCCCATATATCCCCAGCACTGAAGGGCCTGAGCAGCATCACATCCGCCAGCCCTTGCCTGACTAAACTTCCAACAGTTGGACATGAATAGCTGGTGGGGCCCTCAGACCTCCAGACCACCACTTGGAAGAAACCCCCAATCCAAAAAATACCAAAGAGCTTATTCCCAAAAGACATTTCCTGAATCAAAGAGCAGAAACAAAACCCCAAACAAGCCTTCTCATTTCCAGGTCAGTGATATTTCTACGTGTTCTTGATTTTCCAAATCATTCTTTCAATTGTAACTTAAGCTAATCATATTCTTTACCCCTCACTAAAACTTCCTTTTATAAATTTCTACTCCAATATAAATTACAAAACCCAAAACACTCATCATTATTTTTAATCTGTATGTATATATATTCATGTGTGTGTGTATATTTAGGCTAATTTTTTTTTCTTTTGCTTTTTGGGTCACACCTGGCGATACACAGGGCTTACTCCTGGCTCTGCACTCAGGAATTACTCCTGGCGGTACTCAGGGGACCATATGGGATGCTGGGAATCAAACCCAGGTCGGCCACATGCAAGGCAATGCCCTACCTGCTGTGCTATTGCTCCAGACCCTAGGCTAAATTTTAAGTAATTCTGAAAGCTGTTCAAGTTTATATACTTTAAAATAAATAAAGGTTTTCTCAACTATCTCCAAAAAATTAGTCAAGGTTTACACTTAAAAATCACATTTTTCACTACAACAGCAGTTATCAAGCTCTTTGAGCTCCTCAAAGAATTTGTTACACATATTAAAAGTTTCCAAAACAGGGAGCTGGAGTTAACATAGCAGGTAGGGCATTTGTCTTGCACATGGCTGACGTACGTTCAATCCTGACATTCTATACAGTCCCCTAAGCCAACCAGGAGTGATCTCTGAGCACAAAGCCAGGAGTAATGCCTGAACACAACCAGGTGTGGCCCAAAAACTACAACATAAAAGCAAAAATGACTCCCAAAGCCCACCATTAAATGTCAACACAGTATTTTCACAACAATAATTAAATTTCCTAACACGAAGAAAAAACTGAGTGAAAATCACAGCAATAGTTTACATCTTTGCAAAATTTTTTAATCTTGGGCTAGAAGGAGGACAACTGAATTCTAATATCTGCTTCTCCATTCAACATATTATGACATCAAACATTTTATCTATAAACTCTAAAAACTGTACTCATAAGAGGAAAAAGGCAAATCATGTCTAAGTAATCTTAAAAGCACCACGACTTTGTGAGACCCTGGAATTAGCGATCCTAAGTTATATTGGCTTTAATGTTTGTCTCCAACTTTTCAGAGGAAACAAAAAATTAGATCTTTAAAAACTCCAGGGCTTTGGGGGTATGGTACCGCCAGCAGGTCAATCTGTATCTTTGAGGCGAGTACATCAGCAGCCTGATGGCGCCTTCAGACTTCCAGATACCCCAAAATTGCTGCTATGCCTTTGGCCAGACCCCAATAACTTGGGGCAAAGTTTACCAAGAAAGTAAATGGCCAAGAGTTAGGTGTGTGCCTTTTTCCCTCTGGACAGCAAGATGGCAACCGCCTCGGAGATTTTTGGAAAGCCAGGTATGAGCCGGTCGTGACAGGGGCGACTGAAACCTCATGGGAGGGGGGGAGTTCCGGGCTCGTCCTTCACGCCTTACCGAGGTCACGAGTTGCCCCCCACGAGCAGCTCTCCGGCATGGCCATGGCTCTAGAGCCACAGAAACCAGTCTCATAATTATCTGACTCTCGGCAGAAATACTGCCAGGCTTAATAAGTAAAATATGAGAAATCCAAAATTGTGCGGCCGCGCGTCATCATTTGATTCTTGTAACCAGCTATAGAAACAAATAATTCCAGAATGTCTTTTCAACAGGTCTGATTTGGGGGTGTAAACTCTGCATAATAATAGTACATCTTTTGTCGAAACAATGAATCTAATCAAAGTAGATAGAGTGTTAACTAGAATTCATCTGCCTCACAGGCATTGGGAGGGTTGAGAGGGAGGTATATTGGGGTTCTTCTTGGTGAAAAATTAGTACTTGTAAAGGGAAATGTGTTTGATGACTGCATGACCGAGACTTAAACCTGAAAGCTTTGTAACTTTTCCCACAGTGATTCAATAAATTAATAAATTAAAAAAAAAGTTAGGTATGTATGAGACACACCAACAAACCACCTCTGGCTCAGCTATATAATTGGAGGCATGGCCTCTCTGGTTCCTGATCGAACTGCTTAATGACCATGATCCCAGAGACTCAGAAACAAATCTCGAAACCCAATGGCTTTTGGCAGAAATGCATCCAGTCCCTACAGTAGAATACCAGCGCTGGGCCACCCAGGCGGGAATAGGTTTTGTGCATTGGCCTGCTCCCCCTAGGCGGCTCGGTGGCCGCCATCCTCCAAAGACCACTGGACAGTTAGGTTTGGGCCCTCAGCAACAAGACAGGTAGGGCCTCATGGGATGGGGTTGGAGCCGGCCCTTTTCTCCTCATCCCAAGACCCCGAGTCACCACCCACAAATGGCTTCTCTGGCTTCTTATTAGCTGATTAATGGCCATGATCCCAGAGACTCAAATCTCGAAACCCAGTGGCTTTTGGCAGAAATGCGTCTGGAGCCCACAGTAGGTTACTGTCGCCAGGCTACCCCAAGGGAGAAAGGCTGTCCCTCCACCTGCTCCCCCCTTGGTGACTCAGTGGCTCTGCCATCCACCAGAGGCCTTTGGACAGTCAGGTTTGGGCCCGCAGTGATGAGACACGCAGGGCCTCAAGGGATGGGTGTGGAGTCAGCCCTTCCCCCCCATCCCATTGAGACCCTGAGTTGCCACCAACGAACGGCCTCTCTGGCTCCTGATCAAGTCGTTTAATGGCCATGATTTCAGAGACTCAGAAACAAATCGCAGAACCCAGCAACTTCTGGCAAAAATGCGTCCATCCCTGCAGTAGGGTACTGGCACTGGGCGACCCCAGGTGGGAATAGGTTTCATGCCTTGGCCTGTTCCCCCTGGCAGCCCCGTGACCGCCATTTTCCAAAGGCCACTGAACAGTCAGGTTTGGCCCACAGCAACAAGACACATGGGGCCTCACAGGATGGGGATGGAGCTGGCCCTTTCCTCCCCATCCCAACAAGACCCTTAGTCGCCGCCCACGAACAGCCTCTCTGGCTCCTGATCAAGCTGCTTAATGGCCATGATCCCAGAGACTCAGAAACAAATCTCAGAACCCAGTGGATTTTGGCAGAAATGCATCTGGACCCTACAGGTTACTGTCACTGGGCCATTCCAGGGGGAAAAAGGGTGCTGACCCTCCGCCTGCTTCCCCTAGGCAGCTCAGTGGCCGCCATCCTCCAGAGGCCATTGGACAGTCAAGTTTGGGCCCTCAGTGATGAGACACGTGGGGCCTCACAGGAGGGGGGTGGAGCCGGCCCTTTCCTCCCCACCCCAACGAGACCCTGAGTCGCCGCCCACGAACGGCCTTTCTGGCTCCTGATAAAGCTGCTTAACGGCCATGACCCAAGAGACTCAGTAACAAATCTCAGAATCCAGCAGGTTTTGGCAGAAATCCCTCCAGATTTGTGTTAAAATTTCGGAATTTCAAAATCGCACGGCCATTGCTGTAGCCACGCAACATCATATGTTATTCATAACCAGCACTGGAAAACAGATTGTCTACTGTTGCCTTTTCAGCAGATCTGAGTGTTGGGGTAAAATCCCAAATAATAATGGTAGGTCTGGTGTCAAAATATTGAATGCAATCAAAGTAGAAAGAGAGTAATGTGGAAATCATCTGCCCCACAGGTAGGGGGAGGGTTTGGGCTGGGGGTATACTGGGGTTTTTGGTGGTGGAGAATGGGAACTGGTGAAGGTACGGGTGTTTCATTGTATGACCAAGACTTAAACCCGAAAGCTTTATAACTGCTCTCACAGTGATTCAATAAATCACGGTCACGGTCCTCCCATTGTTCATCGATTTGCTCGAGCATGCCCAGTAACGTCTCCATCA